GAGTGTCTAGCAAATGTATTCTTGTAACTGGCAATGTACTCATCGAGTCCGATCGCCAGTGCTTGGAGCACATCAGCAGTCTCCCCGTTCAAACGATATTTAGAACCTTCTTGAAACAACTTGCGAAGGTTATCGTATGAGATGATATTATACGATATATATATTGAACCCTCTACTGACTCAGTCCCCAAAAGTATAATTTTGCAACATACAGGGTTGCCGGCATTCGGGACGGGCCAAACGCCAGAACCCGAACGCCCGAACGTACGGGACCCCTTCGGAAGGTGTTCGGCCGTTCGGGCCGAACGCGGACCAAAAAATAAATAAAAATAAAAAATAAAAAAAATTCAAAAAACTCCGAAAAAAAACATATGTCATGGAGACAAATAAACTAAACAACATTTGCCTGGGCACTACATCCAAATTCTTTACCAAATTTGAATTAAAAATCAAATACAGAAAATAAACACTATGATAAAAATAAGAAAAAATAAAATGAGTGAGTGTGCCAGCACCTTTTCGACACCGCCATCTTTGCCGATTTTTAATTAATTTTTGGCATTGGCAAATGCCCTGAAAATTTACAGATATGTAGTTTACATAATCAATAACTCATTAAAAACATAATAATAAATTTTTTTAGGCTCCAAAATAAAATGAAAACAAAAAGTTAAAGTGAAAAAAAACAAAATAGTGAGTGGGCGAGCACGTTTTGACACCCCCATCTTTGACGATTTTTAATGTTTTTTTGGCTTAGCAGAATGGCTTCAAAATTTATAGGCGTGTAGGTTACATCATAGAGAACTCACAAAAAAACATTCAGAAAAACAAACTTATTTTTAGGCCCCGAAAAAAAATTTGGCGGGGGCCGAACCTGGAGGTGTTCGGCCCCCGAACGGGACCCCGAACGCCTGAACGTTCAGGGGCCAGCCTGGGGGCCCCCGAACGTTTGGTCAGGTAACCCTGTATATATATATATATATATAGTGCGCTCTTTTAGTTTGTAGTGATGTGACAATATATATATATATACTCTACTTCTCTCTCTTTTTCGCTTGCACTGTTCCTCGCTCACTGTTCCTCTCTCTACAATGTCCCAGATCTACCCCGAATGCCTCTGCGGTGTGTCTCACTGCAAACGGGCGGTTAACGGCCGCCAAACACTTTGTCCTCCCCCCTGGCTATGGTGGTCTGTTGCAGCCAGGGTGCTGGTCTTCTTCCTCCCTTCAGCGTTCTTCTTCGTCCAGGTCGTTAGTATGCACAAGCTCCCAACAGCGCTTCCACAAATTTGCGAAATGAACAACTGACTGCCTCCGGCACTGTAGTCCAAGATATATAGTTGTAGTGGACTGTTTCGTGCCTGCTTCAATCCGTACTGGCCTCCTTCAGCCTCCGGCTTGCCAATTGCTATTTTGGGAAATTTGCCAACTTTCTTGTGAGGCTGCTGCAAAATTATACTTTTGGGGACTTGACGTGCTCCGACCGGTACTGTACGGTACTGTAGCCTACCGACCTACGGTGTCTGATCCTACAGGCCCTAAGAGTCCTAAGACTCTAAACAATTGGGGCCTGGACTGTGGTAATGAAGGACCCTAGAACCGGGACTGGGAAAGCTTACAGCGTGAATCCATTCAGGCATGAGAAATACCCTCCAAAAGGTGTCTGGGACATCAGTCTCGACCTTAAGGTAGCGGCATTACCCTCCCCCCCCCCCACACACACAATCCCACAACAAATCTTTAAAGGAGACACAGGTGACCATTGACCCAGCCATGAGACCCCCTTTTTTTTTTGAGCGAACATTCCCCCGTGCGGGTCCGCTCGTACGCCATACGTGCGGAATTTTCCGCACGACGTCCGCTTGCATGTATGAACTGTACTGACTAGATTATAGGTAAGAGGGGGGGGGACACAGCAACAGTGGTTGGACTTGGAATCTTCAGCAATTTCCAGCCACCCTATGCAACACTGAATTATGCAGTCACAGAGCAGGGATAAGGATTTGCAAAAAAGGAAAGACCGTTTTCTGTACACTAGAGATGACACTCTTCGAAAGCAAATCATTGGTATTCCAATGTGAACAAATGCTGGCCCAGAAATTTCCAATCTAACGCTCTATTGGGATGAAGCACGCTTTATTGATGACATTCGTCAACATGATCCCCAAGCTGCTCAGCGATACGCCTTCACTTACCGCCTCATTGATGATGTTCTTTCATGGGGGCAATTACCTCCTCCTTCAGAGCACTATGG